CCTCCCTGGATTCAAAGCCGTTTCAGGGCTGCCCAGGTTTTTCTCCCCAGCCCCTTGGCCGCTTGTCTTTCTCTTTTGTCAAAGGCGGTTGTGTATTCCTGCCGCGTGAAGGAAGGAGGGGCGGGGGGAAAGGGGGAGAGAGGAAGAGGACTTTGCTGCCTGGCCAAAGGAAGCGTCCCTCCCTCCCACTTGGCTCCAAGGAGAAGCGTTGCTGGACTGCGCCCCCCCTCCCACCTTCGAAGCCAGGAGTCGCTTCCTGGGAGGAGATCCGGAGAGGGGCCGGTGGCCGCTTCCCAACCCAGGATCCCGGGCGGCACTCCTGCGTCGGCAGGGCAGAAGCAGCGCGCGCCCCCGCCCGCCCGGGAATGCGCGGCTTTCCGTGCGCGGGATCGCGCTTGGGCAGGGAGGGAGGCATGGGAAGCGGGGGAGTGGGGAGAATGGGTGGGCCGGCAGCTGGTCTTTCGGCGTGGAATCCCTTCTGCAGCCTGGCGGCTTCTCCAGAGCCAGCCCGTTCAATTGGGACTGTTGGGAGGAAGGAGCTTGCCGAAAAACGAAAAGCAACAGAGAGAAGGAAGGCGGAGGTTTCTCCTTTCGGGCGCGGGGTCCCGGTGAGGGGGCTCCGGCGAGCCGTTGGGAACCTTTTCTCCGCCGCTCCCGACTTAGGTGCCGTCTTCTGACAAAGCGCTGCCCGCGGGAATATCCGCCTCTCCTCCTCCGCCCGCTCGCATCTCTGCGGAGTAACTGGGACCAAAGCGCCGCGAGGATTGTGCAGCCTGCTCCGGGCTGGTGTCAGAAGGAGAAGGCTACTGGAATAGTTCCGCGCGGCTCTAAGGGAGACTTTAGTCCGGCTCGCTCTGGGGTTGGAGGAAGGAGGAAGACTCCCTTCGTGGGCTGTGGCAGAAAGAAGACGTCGCTCTATCTGTGCTTAGATATGGTCTATTTTTTTCGCTTTCCGCGCTGCAATGGAAATCTAACCGTCCTAAGTATTCGTGATAGGTCCACCGTGGCTAGCTCTCCGCTAACCTTTCCTGAAAGTTCTTTCAATGCATAAGGAATTAGATCATCGATTACATAATTAATCCCCTGGATGTGCTGTTTGAACCTCTGGCAAGGCAATGGAAAGCACAAAGAAAAAGAGAGGCAAAATGATGGATGGAGGGTACTTTCCTCCTCCTTCGGAGAAGGAGGTGAAGTAGCATTCAATAACAGGCGAGAAAAAAGAAAGGCCCTCTAAAGAACTAAAGGCTGGGAATGACAGGCAGAGCCAGAGGCCATCAGCAATGCATGGTTATTCCAGAGTAATAAGATTTCCCATCTGGTCATGGGAACCCAGTGTGGCTGATGGTTGGAGGGAGAAAGAGCTAAAGTTCAGCTGTTGGTGAAAGGAGGATTCTCGGTTGGCTAAAACTTTGGAGAAGAGTCCATTGCAATGTCTATGGTGGTGGGGAAGGAAAGACAGCACCAGAAACCTTTCACATGGAGGATCCTTACCTTCCTGATATAAACCCTTAGGGGCAGGTCTCCCCATCCTTAAGCTAGAGCATAGGGAAGGAAGGCCAGGAGAGGGGGAGGATTGTGTTTATGATCAAAGAAAACAAAGCACAATTCACTCCAGGGCACACTTACACAGAAAAGAGGCTTATTTGCCCCCAAAATGAGGCTTTAAAAAAATCATGATGAGATGAGGGTGGTTTTATTTTATTTTTAAAAAAGAACTGAACACAAAGCAGCCTTTGCAAATCCCATCATAGACACATTAGCCAGAAACCTCTTATGTAAATGGTGAATAGTGCCATGATGAAGGAGCTGGACTTGAACCAAGAGTGACTTAAACTGTACGGGTAGTTCTCAACTTAGAACAGCTTATTTAGTGACCATTCGAAGTTACAACGGCATTGAAAAAAGGGACCATTTTTCACACTTACGACTGTTGCAGCATCCCCACAGTCACGTGATCAAAACTCAAGACGCTTGGCAACTGACTCCTATTTATGATGGTAGCAGCATCCTGGGGTCACGTGATCCTCTTTTGCAACCTTCTAACAAGCAATGTCAATGAGGAAGATGGGTTCACTTAACAACCGTATTGCTAACTTAACAAGTGCAGTGATTCACTTAACAACTGTCCCACTTAGCAACAGAAATTTGGGCTCAATAATGGTCATAAATTGAGACTTCCTGTATTTATTTATGTACTAAAACACATTTATATAGCTGCCCGACTCACTCATAGGTGATTCTGGGCAGCTTCCAAATGTTTTTAAAAAATCCACCCTTTCATAAAAACCCATTTAAAAAATTCAAATTCCCACTCAACCATATTTCTCATTGAGTGACTTTGAGCCACTTAGAGCTGCTCCTGGAATAAAGCAAAGAGGCATCTTCATTTTTACCCCTTGGAGCTCCCAAGCAGGAAAAAAAAAAATCAATGCAACCAAATCAACAACAGATGGTTCAAATATAATTTGGGAAATTGTAAATGAATAAAGGCAGTGTCAGATCCCTAAAGTGATACTGCCATTCAATTGGGAGGAGGGGAGCCTCGGAGTTAAATCATTAACTACACCTGTAACAACTGAGTTTTACAACTTTACAACTGGTTTCCTGTCACCGGGAGACTTGTTAGGAATGTAACCCTAGTCTTGGCTTGACAATGTATATGTATAAGCATAAGCCATGATTGTAACAAATGTATCTGTT